CTTCAACCTTTGTATTAAGAGATATTATTTGTTGGGTATGGCTATCTATGACTGTTTGGATGGTCTTGTCACGTTAGTCATTCCTGGTGTTGATAACTTCTGTTCAAGACTGAGGATTTTGTTCTCGAGTTGTGTCATCCTGGTGTCTTGTTTTGTTAGTGTCTCTCGAAGATTCATATTTTCAATAACTAAGTTGGAGATGCATGTCTTTAGGGTATCTGGATCGTTGGTCATACCTGAGAGACTACTTGGTAGGTTGAATCCGGGGAAGAGAGGGGAGGATGGGCTGGTGGCAGCCATGTTTGTTGTTATTGTTGTGGTGTCGCCTTGAGTGGTGGTGAGAGGGGTGGTTGCTGGGCCGGCGTCCTCCTGGCTACACTTGTTGAATAGTTGATTTTTCGGTGTTTTCTTGCTGGCCTTGGTGCTGTTTCCTCTTAGATTGCGCCTCATAATACTACAGGAATTGTTGTAGTTAAGAAGAAGTTGTAGTTATACAAAGTTTAGGGTTACGTTGTTCGGCTGGCAGCAGGGTGTTGCTTTCGGTTTGTGGGCAGTCTTCCTTTGATCTCTATTATTTTCGATTTGTAAGTTTCACTGTTGGTAATCTTTGGTCATTCTGGGTGCTACGTTGGGTAGTGCAGTTTTGCTTGTAACTAGGTCATCATAGGAGCATTGGTAGCTCTGATAGTTGGAGAAAAGTACGGAGCTTGGAGGTCGCTGCTGCCGCTGTGTGTATCTGTGTATCAATTTGTCGTGTATTGTTCTGTGACTATGTGTATATAAAATATAGAAAAATAGTAATAAACAACATTTTATATCGTTCGTTTGTGTAAAAAAGTTTTGTAAACAACGTAGTGACGACAGTGTTTGTGCAGTTATTGTGTAGTAAATAAAGAGAGAAAAAAAAAACTTACAAAGTAGTGCTCATATTGGTCTCACAGGCCATAAAAGTTACTTGAAAAAAATTTTTTTTTAAATAACAGAAAAAAGTACAAAAAAAAAAAAGAAAATTAGAAAATACCGGGTGACCGGCAGTTGGCGATGAAAAAGTTTTTTTTTTTTTAAACTTCTCGACCCTGAGAACGAGTCTGGGGGAGGGCCTGTTGACCCTGAAAGGGTTAATAATAATAATAATAATCACTCTGAGGCACATAGTCGTATAAAATGTTAATACTGACATTCTGCTTAATCCATTTATGATATTTTTTTCAAAATTATATAATAAACATGCTACATAACATATAAACACACAAATTAACATAACTATGAGATGTTTTTCCAGTTGGCTCGATGAAGTGAATAAAAACCATTCATGTCCAGGCTGGCATCAACAACAACTGGTTTGCTTACAAAACTCGTGAACATGGGGGTTACATACCTACCACACTTTGATATTTACCTATCTTACTATTCACCTTGCACCCTATATTAAGACCATTAAGACTACAAATATTTTAAGGTAATAATGAGTGTATACTGTACATATGCATTTTATCACTCTAGGGCACTTTAAATGCCTAGTATATACAGTACATGTAATTTAATGTTCACTCGAGAAACAAAGCTATACTGACTCACGACGCCTGCACGAGGCAGGCGGACAGGCCTGGTATGCGGTTTGAAACACAGGGCACGTTCGATACTCGGGACAAAATTGGTGCGAAAAAAGCGTTCGAAACTCAAAGCGTTCAATAGTCGATGCATTCGAAACTCGGGGTTTCACTGTAATCGAGTCCTTAGGTTATGCTTCAACTTTATATATCCTTGGTAAGGCCTCATTTAGATTATGCTACACAGTTCTGGTCTCCATATTACAGAATAGACATAAATGTACTGGTAAATCTTTCCTACAAGGACAGAGCACTGAATCTGCATTCTAGAAGGGCATAGAATTAGGGTGGTATACAATTGAGGTAATAAATGGAAAACAGGAATAAATATATAATGTGCTTAAAATATATAACCAAGAGAGGACTTGCAGCAATGGGTTTCAAGTTGGAAAACCTTAGAAAAGTCATAGGAATGCATTGGTTTGGTAATAAAGTTGTGGATGAGTGGAACAAACTCCTAGGTATCATCACTGAAGTGAAAACCTTTTGTAGCTTTAAAAATAGGTTAAATAAGTACACGAGTATGTGTGGATGGGTGCGAGTTGGATGTGCCCAGCATTGACCAGAAGGCCTGCTGTGGTGCTCCTTTCTTGTTTTCATGTTCTAATCCCCTGGGGGTTAATAGTCTTTGTTGTCATGTTAAGATGTATGTATTAAATTTTATTTTGTTGTCCCATATCATGTTCAGGAATTTTCCTTCATCTTTTCTTTTCATGTGTAATATTTATCTTGATATTTAAAACAGCTAGCATGCAGTTAATTTTGCAATTACGACTGTTTCAGCAAAGATGACGGACTTTTCAAATCGCAAACTTCAGCAAGTTATCCAGGCAACAGTCTCAGTTACTTGCTTAAATATAAGCCACCAGCATAATTTAGGTTTAGGTTAGGTTAATGCTTACCAAAAGTTTAATTTATGTACATGGAAGAACCTTTTCCAAGCAGGAAAGTATCGAAGACTTCTGGCCGATCAGTAACTTCGGAACAGTTATGAGATCACTTACATTTATGAAGAGAGAATGTAAAATAATTTATTCAGGTTAGATTAATTAAGATTTAGGAAAATTAATAAAAAAAAGTACAGGTTTGGCAACAGAAAACAAGAATAGGACTATAATTGAAGGCTGATCCTCGGCAGAACTCAGGCGCAACATTTTCTAAGTACTATGTGCTATCTTAAACATCAAACAAGTAGGTATTTTTTGTGAAAATTGTTACTTTGAGAGATTTCAGAAAAATAATAGCTTAATTTTGGCTCAAATGCCACATCAAAGCCAATCCATGGTTAGTACCGAGTCAGGCAATAAGCTTTTCAAACAGCCTATGTAAGAAAAAACAAAAAAGACATTTCCACCTCTGCTGATAACAAAATGATTTCGGTTCTTACACTGGGTAATGTTGGGTTGTCCCAACTACACAACATATACCCCAAGGCAGAACCCTCTTATGGATATCTGAAACTATAATTTATCATCAAAATATGCCGAGGAGCAACATTCACCTGTCCAACTTATTTTCAAAACCAACAAATGTTCTCGCTTTAATGATGCTACTTCCCTGTATTTTTTTGTACCTCTGTATGTGTGCTCAAATTGGTAATAAATAAATAAATAAATAAAAAGCATGATTATAGACAAGAGGAACAAATTGCCACACAGTCTCATTTATGTGAAATATTTGGGTCGATATAAACATCAGTCAGTTAAATGCTGGAGTGTAAATGGATGAGTGAAGGTAAGACTTTCCTAGTAAGGGCCATTAGGCCTATTACAATTCTAATTCAGCTCACAGCTGAAGGACCTAGGTTTAATCCTGGTATGAGTGGAAACGACAGTCATGTTTCCTTATGCCTGTGTTGCTGTTCACCTAGCAGACAGTAGGTACCTGGGTATTAGAAGACTTGTAGGGGTCAAAGAACCCCAGTGGAAATAGGTCACTGACTTTTTTGGGTTATCTTAGGTAATCAACACATATGCTGCAAAGTATGACAAATTATGTAACTGTATTTATGTGTACCTGTACCTGAATAAACTTGAATAAGCTTACAGGTTCATATTACCTGGAGAGAGTTTAGGGGGTCAATGCCCCCTCGGACCAGTCTGAGACCAGGCCTCAAATTCAAATTCAAATTCAAATTCAAAGTTTATTGTTAGGTAAGACACATATGCAACAGTTAGGTATCTTTATTATGAAACGTTTCGCCTACACAGTAGGCTTCTTCAGTCGAGTACAGAAAAGTTAATAGAAGCAGAAGATACTTGAAGACGATGTAACCAGTCCATCACCCTTAAAGTTTTGAGGTGGACTGACCACCTCAAAACTTTAAGGGTGATGGACTGGTTACATCGTCTTCAAGTATCTTCTGCTTCTATCAACTTTTCTGTACTCGACTGAAGAAGCCTACTGTGTAGGCGAAACGTTTCATAATAAAGATACCTAACTGTTGCATATGTGTCTTACCTAACAACCTGTCGGTATTTTATACCATTTTAATGTTCAAAGTTTATTCTCTATAAGGATTACAATGCTGAGTTTACAGAAATTTGGATATTGTGTGGTTTACATGTAGTAAAATAGTGATTACAGAGTGTACCACTAGAACGCTTAGCATGGCTAGGCATTTCGGGCAGACTTAGTTTTATTCTTAATTGTAAAATATTACAAATTATGAGGTAAGTTGGTATTATGGCTAAGTGACTAAATACTAGTTTGTGAGTTTAGCAATGTGAATGCTTTTGTTTTGGCACAGTACATAGTTTCAGTATTGGAGTATCACAGGATTCATTATTTTAAGATTGAGATTAATATTTCTGTTTATGGTCAAATGAGTCAGTGAGTGTAAGTGTGAACCACCAGGTGGTATTCGTGTAGTTAGTTGACGGGGTGTATCAGGGAGATAAGATGTTTTTTAATGGTAGTTTTGAAGGTGATAAATGTGTCTGCAGTTCTAGAGTTCTCAGGTAGGGTATTCCAGATTTTAGGGCCTTTGACATACATTGAATTTTTGTAAAGGTTTAGTCGGACACACACAGTAACACTATAAATTACCTAGGATGTCACAGTGACATTTTTTTAGTTATCCTAGGTAATTTACACTATGTATGATTATTGTACATATGTGTACCTGTACCTAAATAAACTTACTTAAAAGACAACTTATTTTTATTGGGGTTGCATCCTGGGCGAAGGTCACGGGACCTCCAATGGACATAAGACCAACAATGACTGGCTTTCGTGGGTTATTAACACTCCAGGATAATGTAAACAATATCTTAATTTTCTTCTACTTGTGCAAAAATTACATGACCACGTTAGTCAGTAGTATATTCCTGGATCAAGAGCACAGGCCAGGCCACGTGCATTACAACTTACACATACACCACCACTCACCTTGGAATCATTCCTCACAAACTGCATACCATGGCCGGGGTACACTCTACTGGAACAAAAGTAACACCTTTCTATACGCATTGTGTTACAGTGTTAACTGTTGTGTTGCACCGTGCACGAGACTCTAGCGTGGAGGAAGTTAACACTATTAGCGACCGTTCAGGAAGTTACCAATACCAGCGACCATTTTGAAGTTAACACTACCAGCTACCATATAGGAAGTTAACACTACCAGCGACCATATAGGAAGTTAACACTACCACCGAAACGTCTACAATAAAGATACCCAGATGTTGCACATGTGTCTAATTTTCATCTTGTCGATGTTATATACCATTCATATACAACTTGCCAGACACTGCAACATCATGGAACACAAGAACATAAGAACATAAGAAAGAAGGAACATTGCAGCAGGCCTACTGGCCCATACGAGGCAGGTCCAAATCTCCTACCGGCTTAAGCCAGTGCCCCAACCTAGTCAGGTCAGGTCACATTCACTTAAGGAAGGAACACGGCAACTGACCTAGTAGCACAAGCTAATCAGGTCCAACTCACACCCACCCACACCCACTCATGTATTTATCTAACCTATTTTTAAAACTACACAACGTTTTAGCCTCAATAACTGTACTTGGGAGTTTGTTCCACTTATCCACAACTCTATTACCAAACCAGTGCTTTCCTATATCCTTCCTGAATCTGAATTTTTCCAACTTAAAACCATTGCTGCGAGTCCTGTCTAGGCTAGATATTTTCAGCACGTTATTTACATCCCCTTTATTTATTCCTGTTTTCCATTTATACACCTCAATCATATCCCCCCTAATTCTACGCTTTTCTAGAGAGTGCAGATTCAGGGTCCTCAGTCTATCCTCATAGGGAAGATTTCTGATACATGGGATCAACTTTGTCATCCTCCTTTGTATGTTTTCCAGAGCATTTATATCCATTCTGTAATACGGTGACCAAAACTGTGCAGCATAATCTAAATGAGGTCTAACCAAGGATATATAGAGTTGAAGAACAACCTGAGGACTCCTATTATTTATGCTTTTTGATATGAAGCAAGGATTCTGTTAGCTTTATTGCGAACACTTATGCACTGTTGTCTTGGTTTCAGATTACTGCTAACCAGAACTGTTGTCTTGGTTTCGGATTACTGCTAACCAGAACTCCTAAATCTTTTTCGCCATCCGTAATATTAAGATCGACATTATTTAGTTTATATGTGGCATGGTTATTTTCCTGTCCAACATTTAGAACTTTGTATTTGTCTATATTAAACTGCATCTGCCACTTCTCCGACAACTGCATCAGTCTGTTCAAATCTTCCTATAGTGCTCTAATATCCTCGTCAGAATGAATTGGACGGCCTATTTTGGTGTCATCGGCAAACTTGCTTATGTCGCTCTTTATGCCCTCATCAACGTCGTTTATGTAGATTGTGAACAACAGGGGGCCCAACACTGACCCCTGTGGAACACTGCTCGTGACGCTTTCCCACTCTGATTTCTCCCCATTTATGCAAACTCTCTGCTGCCTATTTGTCAACCATGCCTCTATCCAGGATAAAATTTCTCCTCCTATTCCATGTGCCTTAATTTTCCTCAATAGTCTCTGATGTGAGACCCTGTCAAAAGTCTTACTGAAATCCATATACACAGTATCATATTCATTACCATGATCTACCTCCTCAAATACCTTAGTGAAAAAAGTTAATAAATTCGTAAGGCAGGAACGCCCCTTTGTAAAACCATGCTGAGATTCATTGATTAATTTGTGCTTTTCAAGGTGGTTATGAACTGCCGCGGCAATTATTGATTCCATAAATTTTCCCACTATGAAGGTTAGGCTTATTGGTCTATAGTTCGAAACTAAGGACTTGTCACCTGCTTTGAAAATAGGTATCACATTTGCCATTTTCCACTTATCTGGCACCATGCCAGTTTGTAGTGATATATTGAAAGGATTAACCAGAGGTTTGCTAAGCTCCTCTTTACATTCCTTTAGAACCCTTGCATACAGTTCATCAGGGCCTTGGGATTTGTTAGGTTTTAATTTATCAATTTGCCTAAGGACCATGTCACTTGTGACCCTAATCGTGCATAGTTTATTATCATCCTGTTCTACAAAATTTATTATTTCTGGAATATCGCTGGTATCTCACAGACAGTGATAAGGAAATGTGTTGAATTTTTAACACATATGTGTTAAAAATTCTACACATTTCCTTATCACTGTCTGTGAGCTGACCCGAGTACTTTTGAGTGGGCCTTCTTGTCCCTGATCTTACTTCTGTATACCTGAAAGAATCCTTTTGGGTTAGTCTTCGTTCTCTTGCAACTTTAACCTCTAATCTCTTTTTGCTTTCTTATTCCCTTTTTATTTCTTCTTTAACTGAATATGTTGATTTCTTAATTGCAGCTCTCCTCTTTTGATTTGCCTTATATGCCTCTCTTTTGACCAATGAGATGTTTTATCTATTGTTCATCCCTTTTTAGGATCATTTTTGCTTGATCTGATTTCCCTATTTTGGAACATAAGTTGTCTGAGCAGTTTAGAACTTTTCCCCTGGAAAACTTTCATATCGGCAATCACCCCACCACCTACCTGCCCCATAGTCAGGTCATTCAAGTTCAGCCCCCCCAAGTAATTTTTCAGTCCTATGAAATCACCCAAGCGGAAGTCGGGGAAACAGAGACTTGATTGCCATTATTAGGGAAATTCCCATGATATATTAAAAACTGAGTGATTTGTGATCATTTTCCCCCCAAGCTCTCATTAACTCAAGATTATTAATTAGCGTTTCCCTACTGGCAAGAACCAAGTCAAGGAGGTTATAAGATAAGATAAGATTTCGTTTGGATTTTTAACCCGGAGGGTTAGCCACCCAGGATAACCCAAGAAAGTCAGTGCGTCATCGAGGACTGTCTGACTTATTTCCTTTGGGGTCTTAATCTTGTCCCCCAGGATGCGACCCCCACCCAGGATACCTATTTTTCTGCTAGGTGAACAGGACAACAGGTGTAAGGAAACGTGTCGAAATGTTTCCACCCCGCCGGGAATCGAACCCGGGCCCTCCGTGTGTGAAGCGGGAGCTTTAGCCACCAGGCCACCGGGCCTGGGGCTCTGTCACAAACTGTCTTGGAGTCTTGGTTCAGAGGACATGTACATAACCTTCACAGCTACTTCAACTACTACTACCACTAGCCCATCCCTTGGGTATGACCTATGTGAAAAATTGCATTTATCTGAATGTGTCATTAAATACATAACAGTAAATGAACAAAGATAACTATTATTTATCAGTTAGACAAGTAGGAATTTGGGACACCTAGGTCGCAAAAAATGTCCCCCTTCGATACCTACCACTGTCATATCCACAAGTTGCTCTGGACCCATTAATTATAAATGAAATATACATGAGGAAATTAAACATGAGGAAATTAAATCTTCATCAGAGTACAAAACAAATTCTGGCCACAAAATAGAGCGAAACACCAACGTCAAAGACCTGGGAGTGATCATGTCGGAGGATCTCACCTTCAAGGACCATAACATTGTATCAATCGCATCTGCTAGAAAAATGACAGGATGGATAATGAGAACCTTCAAAACTAGGGAGGCCAAGCCCATGATGACACTCTTCAGGTCACTTGTTTATCTAGGCTGGAATATTGCTGCACACTAACAGCACCTTTCAAGGCAGGTGAAATTGCCGACCTAGAAAATGTACAGAGAACTTTCACGGCGCGCATAACGGAGATAAAACACCTCAATTACTGGGAGCGCTTGAGGTTCCAAAACCCTGTATTCCCTGGAACGCAGGAGGAGAGATACATGATTATATACACCTGGAAAATCCTAGAGGGACTAGTACCGAACTTGCACACGAAAATCACTCACTACGAAAGCAAAAGACTTGGCAGACGATGCACCATCCCCCCAATGAAAAGCAGGGGTGTCACTAGCACGTTAAGAGACCATACAATAAGTGTCAGGGGCCCGAGACTGTTCAACTGCCTCCCAGCACACATAAGGGGGATTACCAACAGACCCCTGGCAGTCTTCAAGCTGGCACTGGACAAGCACCTAAAGTCAGTTCCTGATCAGCCGGGCTGTGGCTCGTACGTTGGTTTGCGTGCAGCCAGCAGCAACAGCCTGGTTGATCAGGCTCTGATCCACCAGGAGGCCTGGTCACAGACCGGGCCGCGGGGGCGTTGACCCCCGGAACTCTCTCCAGGTAAACTCCAGGTAAACACCAGGAATGCTGGTAAATATATAAATTTTGTGGACTGTATATTAAATTAAAAAATGATTATATATAAACACATATATATAACAGAAGGAGAATATATCTTAATCATAACACTCACCAGGATGAATTACAGCAGTTGGATATGCTGAATGTTGAAGACAGAGTAAAACAACTGAAGCTAAATCATGTTTATAAAATTGCTCACAAACAATGTCCAGAATATCTTGCTGTCAATTTTGTCAAGGTTGGGAACCAAAGCAATCATAGTACTAGGGGGAGAGAGCACAACTTTGTAGTACCCACAGTCAGTGGCCAGGCTTCAAACACCTTTTATTGTACAGCAATAAAGGAATGGAACAGACTACCTGCACATGTCAAAGCCAGTCATAGCGTGAACCAGTTCAAGAAGAGTGCCAAAAGGTGTCTGATGAATGTAGCTACAGAAAGGGAGGGGAATGATTTTCTATTTTTTTAGCTAACATACGTGTAAATTTTACCTTATTCCTTGTAATGACCCTCGTATTGTAGATAGTCTTAATGACCTTGGTGTAGCTGATAGTCTTTTTAGTATGATAATAAGATGTTATCTTCATTGTAGAATAATAAGAAAATATTATAACCTTTATACTATAATAAGGTAAAAGGACCCCAATGGAAATAAGTCACTCTGTCTGACTTTTTTGGGTTATCCTAGGTTCTCTACACATATGCTGCTATGTATGATAATTCTATGTAACTGTATTTGTGTATACCTGAATAAACTTACTTACTTACCAATTTGACTGGAAATTAATGTGTCATGTACAGGACCCCCCTTATGCGGGGGGCCTCGGGCAATTTCCGCGCGCGCTCTACCAAAAATCGAAAAATTATGGAAATTGAGTTACATATACCGAAAAAT